TACTTCCAAATATTCATAGATAAACGTACCTACTAGGACTTGAACCTGAAACCCGCTCGTGGAGGGTTGGGTGCCTAGACCACTAGGCCGCGGGATCCCAACCCCAACAATAAATTTTTAGTGTAAAAATTTTAAAATTATTCTAAAATCATTTTTAGACTATTATTTAATACTGTATTATTATTATAAAATTGTTATAAAATTGTTATAAGATTATTATAAGATTATTATAAAGGATTATGCTAAACATAGCAGGTTGCTATATTGGTTACACACTTGTCAAACAATAAACTCTAAAAATAGCACAATCCGCAACATAATCAAAGTAACAACCTGCTATATCGCAGGTTACATGATTGCCTAAAAAATTACTGACCATAATCAAAGTACTCATATGACTTTTTGACCAACTGGAATTATGCCCAAAGATAGTAAAAAATAAAGAAAATGCAAATATATAAAAAACAACAGTCTAAACCTGTCTTGAAGTACTAGCAAAAAAATTCGGTGAGACAAATTTTATCTGTAAGTATGTTCTTTTTTTAACCCTACTCTAGCACTAAAATATTTCTAATTCTGCTTTAATTAAGATTTTGACAGTCATGTGAGTATCAAAATAGACAATGTCGCTATCAAAAAAACAGTTATATTAACTCAACATTCTATTTATAACTTAACGTTAAAGCAGGTCAAAATTACTTGATATCACCTTTTCAAGTTTAATACAATCATATAATCATATAAAAGCTACGTATTAGTTTTATTTTGATTTGGCCCATATTCGACTATTCCAATTGATTAAATATTAATAATTTGATAACACATAAATACATGCTATAATATATACTAATATCTTTTTTCTATATGTCGTGATTGACTTTATTTCGATCTGGCCCATATTCGACTATTCCAATTGATTAAACGTTAATAATTTGATAACACATAAATACATACTATAATATACACTAACACCTTTTCTCTATATGTCATGATCGACTTTATTTTGATCTGGCTCATATTCGACTATTCCAATTGATTAAACGTTAATAATTTGATAACACATAAATACATACTATAGTATACACTAACACCTTTTCTCTATATGTTGTAGTTGACTTTGGTGTACCGGGAATTCATAGTGCAAGAGTTAGAATCATGATCGGGATTTGCATTAATAGTGTGATTCGGGGTTGTATGAAATTAATTAAAAGTTTAAATAATGATTGTATGAACAATGTGGTAATCATTAGTGATTAGTAATAATATCAATTGCATAAGCAATGAGAAAGTATATAATAATAGATAATATAAGCTTTGAAATAATACTATCGAGTTTTAGATATTTAATAGTTATTCAAGATTCAAACTAATCAAAAAAAATTTCATAGGGTTTATGTGACAATAAAATTGGCTATATTCGCTAAACTTTAATATTCTTTTACATTAATTTGATACATACAATAACTTTACCTAAAATGATTTTTAGGAAATTTACATGTGTTAGCATAGTGCCCAGTTCTATAACAATTACTACAATGATGGCCCTCCACTTTCGGCACAGAATTTTCTTCATTTATTTTATTGATCCATTTTTTTGATAGAAGTTCTTCAATATATTCGCTTTTAGCATCTGTTTCTATTATTCTTCTCAATTTATCTTGCCTTAAATTTAAATTTTGGTTTGTATTTAAATCTTGAAGTGTACTTTGTATAGAATTAAACAACTTTGGATGCCCTTTGTGCTTCAATTTTTTAGGATTTTCAATCTGAGTAATGTCAATTGTTACATGCTTATTAGTGGCAACTTCACTATGATTTTCAATAAACTTCACTATTAGTTTTACAAATTCGTTAATTAATCCATTTTCAAAAGCGAATTTTAATCCACTTTTTGCTATGCCAAATCTATGAGCATATTCTTGCTTTTGAGTAACACAGGCATGAATGCTAGCTTGATATATATTGGGTCCGCGAATAGCTATAACTTGATTCATCTCTTTATTTGTATCAAATTTCATGATATCAGCAGCATCAGTGCCTGTAATTATAGAACAATTTGATGTTTGCATTGAATCGGTATACCAACAATTAGGTATGAGTTTAATATCAAACTTAGCATTGTAAGACATCTTAAAACAGCAAAAAAATGTCGGCAATAAAAACCATTAGAAATAATATATAGACAAGTACAAAGATATGTGTTATCCTTTAAAAGAATAATATAATGAGAATAACTATAATTGTGCTGATCAAATAAAGAAACACGCCAAACTTCAAGAATATTGTCACAGTTAACCATATTAATAATATTTTCAAGCGAAGCTTGCAATGCATCGTATTCATCTTCAAGATATCCTTCTGCATATTCATGAGCACTAGGAAACTACAAAAATATTAACTCAAGTAAAAAATAATGAAGTGACGACTATAAAATCATACCAATATAGAATTATTTGAGACTTCATATAAACATGCATGATATAATACACTTTGTAATATTTGAGTATTTTGCATTGAAGCAGATTCTAATATCAAATATTTCTTGATTGCATTTTGAACAGGTTCAAAAAAGACACTTTGGATACTAGGAAGTCCCCGGGTAAGTAAAGTATTTTTATACTCTGATAATCGTTGATATTTTGCCTCACGTTCAAGTTTTGCTTGAATAGTTTTAACTAAATTAAGAAGTGATGTTTTTGTATTAACTTCAGTTTTAATGAGCCCATTAGTGCTTTTTACTCTTTGCGTGCTTTGCATACCAGTACAAAAGGATATAAATACATAGATCTTGGCCCATGATTGTCAAGATTTCCAAAGTTGATTCAAATAATTATTGGCTGCGGGATATTGATTTAATAGCTCTTCCCAACGATGCTCTAGCTCTGCTATACTACAACTATTGTGACATTGATACCAGCTTTGTAAGAAATCATTATAAGAACTGCCAAGTTTTCGAGCTAATTTTTTTGTAATATTTGTATAAATATGAAAGATACAATAATTATGTTTTGTCATAGGAAAAGTTTGGCTAATAGCAGAGATCATAGCCGGATCTGTATCAGTAAAGATCACTTTTGGAGGCAGATTGTCAGTTGCTTTTAAGATATAATTCAAAATCCACTTATATGAACTAACTGTCTTATCTTGAACAAGTGATTGCGCTACAATCCTCATTTGGTAATGATTATCGGCAATTACAAAAAAGTTCAATAACATATTATAGGCATTTGTTTTTGCAATATTATCATTAACTACCACATCATGATAACGTTTCCACAATTCTACTTGAATTGGTGACATCCAAAAAAGTCGTAAAAGATTATTGTCGATACCCTTAAACTCAATATAAATAGCCTATCCCAGCTCCTGCTCCTTTTGTTCCATAAGCCATTTTATCATATTCGACACATCATTCTCTCTATTATTTCCTATTTGATTTTTATACTGACGTATAGCATTATGCAAATCACGATCATACAATGGTTGGTTGGGAAATTTTTTTGTAATATATCGACATTGGGCTTTTGTTCCAAAACCACATTCCTGAGTTAAAAACTTAATTTCATCAAGAACTTCTTGTGAAAGCATATGTAAACTTGGGGCAAACTCTTTCCGATGTAGTGCAAGGGGGTGATTATAAGCCTCAACTAACTTATTAATAACAATAACTATAGTATTGGAATTTTTTTGGCATTCTACATTAAGCTGCCACTGGCATCCAACTTTTTTGGATTCTCTATCCCTTTGGTCTTCACTAACAATCTTTTTTTTAGATTGACGCTCTTTAGAATTTTCACAAACAAAGTATCGTCGAATTATAACACCAGTATTATTACGCTCTATTCAAAATTTTATTGCCTTGAACCTAATTTCTGCTTTATATTTTTTTAATGTATTTTCTAGAGATTCCTAACTAGGAAATTCAGCACCATCTTTAATTGTAAAATCATCAGTTTCGTTAGCACTATCAAATTCGTCATTGTCTGGTTGTTCATGAGCTAAATGCATAAATTCTCATCAGAAAATTTTTTATATAGTTACATATCAATATATAGCAAAAAATCGATATATATCGATAAGATAAAAATGGTATTTATCGATAATTTAGAATATATAACGATATATTACCAAAAATCGATATATACCCGTAATAGGTATATATCGATAAATATCTAATCATCAATATATATCGATTTTATTTATATCGATAGTAATCGTGTAATA